TCCCGAAGGCAAACAGCTCAACCCTCAGTATCAGTATTCCCACCGACAAACACGCTGAACTTTCATCCAGTTAGCTGACACTCCACCAACCCCCCCCCCCCCCCCGCACCGTGAACCTGCGGCTCCCACATCTCCCAGCTTTGTACATCACCGCTTCTCCAAAGCCCCACAGCCCCTCGGTGCGGCCATTAACCCTTCCACCACGATTAACCCTCGCGATTCCCACGACAGAGATAGAAGGAAGGGGCCTCCCAGGTGCCGGCTCTCATAGCTGCGCTATGGGAGCAGCTGTCGCGGCACGGGGGGACGAGACCCACCCCGTCCTGCCTCCGAGCTTCGCTTCTGCCGACTTGAAAGACATCGCTTAAGGCTAACGGCAGCACGACCCGCGCGAGCAGATAGAGAAGGCAATAAACGGACGCGGGCCGGGCATTCCCCTCCCCTTACAGCCCGGAACGGGCCGGGCAGGAACAGCACGGGACGCCTCCCGGCGCTGCCTCGCACGGAGCCGACTCCTCTCCCCGTCGGCCGCCTTCCATCTCCGCCGCGGCCCCGCGCCCCGACGCGCTCCGCCGGAACCCCGCACCGAGCGACTCTCGAGAGCGGCCCCGCACCGCCGGGCCCCGCCGCACGGCTCGATCCCGCGCCACTCACCGCTCCGCTCCGCCGGGAGGTGCCGCGCCGAGGCAGGGGCCGCTCCGCGCCCCGGGGCTCTCCGCCGCCCCGCGGGGCCCGCGCGTGGGCGCAGCGGCGGGGCGGCGCCGGCAGAGCAGCGAAGGGGAGCGCGGCGGCGGCGGCGCGCACACGGCGGCGGCTCCGCCCTCACCTGCTCAGGTGCGCCGGGCGCAGCCGCGACGCCGCCCGCCCCGCTCCGCCCACGGCCGTGAGGCGGCTCCGCTGCGCTGCGCCCCGTCCCCACGGGTGGGGGCAACCCGACCTCTTTTCTTTCTTTCTGTTGTCCTTAAGTGGAATTCTTAAAGACAAAATCAATTCCGTCTTTTTTTTTTTTTTTTTTTTTTTTTTTTTCTTTCTTCACTTCCCCCCCTCACTTCAGAACCCGTTTGATAACACATCCACCCATCACAAAACTTAAAGCCTGAAAAAAAGATGAGCGCACAGCCGCTTTCTCGCAAAGCCGTACCAACTTTTCTCCTCCCGCAGCCCCGGCCCTGCGCGCACCCAGCTCGCTGCCTGCGGCATCCCTCAGCATCCCGCCGGTCTGGCCTCTCGTTCGCCTTTCATTTCTTTTCCCTGTAGGTGGAGAGCCGTGACTCAGTGGTGAATCTTGGTTTCAGGAGTTCGCATAATGCTTCCCCAGTCAGTTTCAATGAACTAGAAAAAACAGTGGGGGAATTTCCCCTCCTCCTCCATCACGGAACACTGTGGATGGTGCTGAATCCTGACTTTGGGAAGGCTAACCCACCCCTAGAGCTCAGTGCTACACCAAGATTTAGGAATTATATGTGCAGAATGCTGAAAACCTTCATGCGAACAGAAAATGGAACTCTGTATTTTCCTTGGGAAGTGTGCCTTGCAAGATGCCAAGCGAAAGATAAACCTTTCAGCCTTCATTCGTCACCGAAGCATGGCCATTGGAAGTGACATTGAGCAGGAGTTTGTCAGAACAGAGCAAAATGTCTGGCAATGAGAGAGAAACATCCAAGGTTGATGTTTTCTTTGTAGGACTGTGCTGCGCTGGTGAACTTCAGATTTGGCAGATTTGGTTTTCCCCAACTTTTTTGATATGGAAAGTGAGGGACAGCTGCTCCTGCAATAACACCTCCACGGTATTAGTCCTGCCATGTGCAGTCATAGAATGGCCTGACTTGAGAAAGGACCACAATGATCATCTCGTTTCAACCCCATGCTACGTACAGGGTCATCAACCACCAGACCAGGCTGCCCAGAGCCACATCCAGCCTTGAATGCCTCCAGGGATGGGGGCAATGCAATGGCAGTGCAGTGGTGAGCGACTGCAAAGAGACACTCGGACACCGTGCTGAGCTCCCAGAGCGTGGGAGACCTATGATCTCCTCTCGAGCAGCTCAGCACCACCACTGAGCACATCCACCCACATTCCTGCCACCTGCACTGCTGTCTGCTGGCAATGGGAAAAGTTGGAGTGGTTCAGGTTGGTGGCCAGATGCTCAGAGCACTTCAGAATGTTCCCTGGGCAGAGCTCTGCTCCTCCCATGCCTGCCCTGGAGATGCTGCAGACTGCCCATCCCAAGGAGTGCTCGTGCTGCTGTGCTGAAATGATGGAGCAGTACAGAATGTGTGAAGCCCTCACTGCACCTCCAGCCTCACAGCAGCTGATCTCCTCGCACAGCGCACACGCTGCAGCCATCCCCGGCCTCTGCTCAGCAGGAAGGTGATTGTTCCTCTCTGCTCTGCTCTTGTAGGCCCCATCTGCAGCACTGTGTCCAGGTCTGGAGCCCCCAGTACAAGAAAGACAGAGAGCTGTTGGAGAGGGTCCAGAGGAGCCACAAAGATGATCAGGGGCTGCAGCACCTCCCTACAAAGACAGGCTGAGGGAGCTGGGCTTGTTCAGCTGGAGAAAAGAAGGCTGTGGGGTGAATCACTGCAGCCTTCAGTACCTAAAGGGAGCCTACAAACAGGGGGGGAATCAACTCTTTGAAAGGGTAGATAACAGCAGGATGAGGGGAAATGGTTTGAAGTTGAGGGAGGGAAGATTGAGGTTGGATGTCAGGGGGAAGTTCTTTGCTATGAGAGTGGTGGAACAGCTGCTCAGAGAGGCTGTGGATGCCCCGTCCATCCCTGGAGGTGTTCAAGGCCAGGTTGGATGGGGCCCTGGGCAGCCTGGGCTGGTATTAAATAGGGAATTTGGTGGCCCTGCCTGTGGCAGGGGGTTGGAGCTTCATGATCCTTGAGGTCCCTTCCAACCCTGGCCGTTCTGTGATTCTGGGAAGGGCGCTGCAGCTGCCAGGCACACAACACAGAGCTCTGCAGGGCTTTTCCCCAAGTTCCTCCTGGGCACTGCTGCAGCATGTGGCAGCATGTTGTGCTGGGAGCTGACAGGAAAGGAGCAGTCTCTTTTTCCACGCTGTCGGCGGAGAAACTGCAGTGTTTCAGTCGTATGGGCGATGCTGTGGGGATGCGTAATCAGATATTCCCCTTTGCAGCTCATCATCCAAATTGCTCATTCTGATGTGATATTTCTTAGAAGGTACCACCCTATAAAGCATTGATCCCTTCAAGGTGCCAAATAGAACCTTTATTACAGGCTCTTTATTACAGTGACCTGCATCTATTTTTTTGAGGCATGCAGAGAACTCCTTTGGTTGACAAACTGTGCACAAAGTGATGTCCTGCTGGCCAGGGGGCAGCAGCAGTGTCTGTGGTCTGCAGAGCACATGCTTTGGGCAGCAAGAGTGTCTGCAGGGCAATTTTCATACCAGGAGCGATGAGATTTCATTTCAACACCAAAATAACATCAGTACTTGTATTAACCTGATTGCATACCCTGATAGGAGCAGCAGCACCAGGCAGACTTTGTAGCTCAGGTCTCTTTCAGTCCTCTGTTCCTGGCTAAAAAAGCTTGTAGTCATCGAAACAATGAGGAGCCATTTTCTGTCCTGGGAACAGATTGCTAAGTTCCCATAAGGCAAAACACAATTATGCAATGAGGCAGCATACTGTCCCAGGCATGCACAGTCTTGTTATGCACTCTCAGCGCTCACATTCCAGCCTGCAGCCGCTCACAGGAGCGCTGCACAAAATGGTGCAGAACCCTTCAACGTGCTTCAGAGCCGTGCAGAGCCCTCCAGTGCAATGCAGGAGCATGCAGAGTCCCCTAACTCATTTCCCAGCAGAAGCAGCTCTGCTTCTTGGAGGCTCTTTGACCCAGATAGAGCCGTGCCCTCCCCAGGTATCAGATGAAATGAATGAAGGAATGTCAATTGAGGAAAAAGCTTCATGTGGTAAATGGAATGGGGAATACAACAAATGAAATACCACAGTAACAGTTGGTTGGCAAAGGTGCTTTCCAGAAGGTCTGGCTGAATGGTGAGCGCTGATGGACAGATCCTATGAAGTTCAGGTGTCACAGTGCTCCATTGCCAATGAGTTATCTCACAGTCAGGGGGGTGAAACTTGTCCACAGCACTTGGAAAGATTAATCTTAGTAATCCCATTGCATTCTACGTGCAGAGAGGGACAAACACGATTCCTCCAAATTAGCAAGCCAAAATAGTTGACTTTAATTGAAAGAGAAGAGCCTTACCCTTCCCAACAATTCCCCTGGTCTTCCACACCCATCACTATTACTGCTGAGCAACTTTTGTCCTCGGCGTGTTTAAGAACCTGAAGTGAATCCATCATTCACTGCCTGGGCATCCTCACACACTGAGAATTACTGACACCCACAGCTGTGCTCTGCTTCTGCAGATCTGCATGCACACACACACAGGTATCTCCCCATGCACACGCACTGCTAGTGGCAGCTCATTGACAGTAAGCAGATTAAGAGGAAGCCCCACTGCAGATGCAAAATACTCCTACAGCAGCAAATTTTAGACTGACTGTTGACCTCTGTTTTTCCATATTAGAAACTCTTCTTCCCAAGCCAATCTGCTTCCAAAAAAGAACAGCTTAAATCCTGCTGGTCTTTAATATTATTATAATGGGGAGTCTATTGTTTCCTATTAACGCTACTCCAATCCTCTTAAAAGGAGAATCCTATCTAGCTATCAGCCAGGCTCAGGCACATTTTTAGCTACAGGTCATTTCTTTCCAGCTGACACAGATAAGTGGTCAGTTTCAAAACACCTGGGATGATGAGGATCAGGGCTGGCAGCCCCAGCAGGAATAGGGAACAGTGATGGGAAGGGGGTTTTTGGCAGCAGGTGGCTGTGAGCAGCCCCATACCAGGCTTCTACAAAGCAAGAGGAGGTCAGTGTTATAGCTAGGCATGGCAAGCAGAAGCACTTCAACTGCAAAACGCACAGAAGACGAATAAAGAGGCCTCAGGTTTGAAAAATACACATTTCTATATAGAGAGGAAATAAAAGACGTGTTGCTTTTCATTGAAAATGTCCACCATGTAGAGCAATAGGAACGTTTGCCTCTGGGTATTCAATTCTTTATCATTTTGTGTAGAGTTAAGCTTGTAGTAGGCAGTTTTACGTGTCAGTAGTCCCAGCAGCTTCTCTCACGTGAGTGGAGTTGTGTGTATTTTATCAGGGTTTGCTCTTAATGTTTCTCATTCACTTGCCTGATTTCACTGAAAAGCTGGAGCACTCCCTGCAAACAGGTGGTGTGTGCCTCCATTAGAAAAACTAACGTGAGGGAGCTTATTATCCTTCTTCTTAATGAAAAACATAATGAAGTGAACACAACTTGTGGGCAATGTGCAAAAGGAAGCTCAGTTCCCAAATTCTTCAGCGTGAAGATGTGCAGGAGGACCCCAAGCATCTGCAGTCTGCTTCTAAATAGGGCACAGCCCAGAACATCTGAAGGTCTCTGTGGCTCATGGGTGGGAATCTCCTAATGATCTTAGTTATTTTTATACGTGTCTGCTGCCACATGCTGCTCTGCCCCAGCGCAGAGAACAGCTCTGTGAGCACCGAGCGAGCGCACGCAGCTGGGGAGGTGGGCACAGCCTGGGGAAGGAGAAATTAAAAGACAGCAGCAACGCAAAGTCACGATATTCACATCAAATAGAGGCGCGGAACAGCCAGGAAAAGAAAAAGCAACTGAAGGTGTTATAAAGGAGCGTACAAGCAAAGGAATTTGGATTTTCTCTTCTCTCACGGAACAAAATGGGACAGCAGTTCACCAACGCTGAAGGGGAACAGACAGAGATCGATGTTGCTGAATTGCAGGAATGGTATAAGAAATTTGTGGTTGAATGTCCCAGCGGAACCCTCTTCATGCATGAATTCAAGAGGTTCTTCGGCGTCCAGGATAACCACGAAGCAGCAGAGTACATTGAAAACATGTTCAGAGCTTTTGATAAGAATGGGGTAAGCGGCGAGGAGGTCTTATGTCAGTTTGTCAGTGATCAGCACCTTTCCTCCTGCAAGATGCAGGTCTTCTGGTGCAGCTCCCACCCATGTCATGGTGCTCTAATGGGACAGAAGGGGCACGTACTGCAGTGTTCTGCATGGGCTGGGATGGCTTCACAAATCTGCATACAGACTAAAGGCAGAAAACATCCTTTTTGGAGCGTTTGTAGATGGATTGAAAGGTTTAAGTGTAGGCAGTCGTATTTGTGACAATATTAATGAAGGGACATCCAATTATCAAAGGCTGAGTGGGAAAAAATCTGTTGTGCCAGGGGGGTTACAGTGACTTGATATGCAGTAGAAGAAGCGTGTGTACATGTGTGCAGGTGGCATGTAACAAAACATTGATTGCAGTTGCTCAGAAGCAAAGGAATGTTGTCCAATTCAGACCTCCTGGTTTGGATTCCCTTTGCTGTAGGGAAAATGAGGCACCCTTTCCTCAGGTGCTTTCCCCAGGGCTCCTGGGCAAGCAGGCTTTCTGGTTTAGTTGCAGTTTATACATTCTCATATATTAGTGCAAAAGATAGCATAATGCTCTCCTGTAATATTCACAGAAATGTAATACGTTTGCCTTTCTCATCTTGAAATGGGTAAGGGATGCTTGACAGTCTTATTTTTCTGAACCTCTTGACTGTATTCAAAGCAGCCCAGATACTCTCAGCCCATGCAGTATCATCTGGCAGTTTTGCACTGAGGTTTTGCAAGCGGTTTTCTCTCAGTTGTGGCCAGTTAAGCATCAGTGAGACTCTCCTCTTTTCCTTCAGGATAACACCATCGATTTTCTGGAATACGTGGCTGCCTTGAATCTTGTTTTACGGGGAAAACTGGAGCACAAGCTGAGGTGGACGTTCAAAGTGTATGACAAGGATGGGAATGGCTGCATAGACAAACCTGAGCTGCTAGAAATTGTTGAGGTAAGTCGGCATTGCCTCATCTCTCGTTTCAGCAATCACGGTTCTTTGGCAACATTGTGATGCGTTCAGTTTTTGTGATAACTGAGGTTTCAAGGCAGCCGTGGGCAGCAAAGCGACAGCGCCTGACCCTGGTGAAGGGTCAGAGGGTTGGTGGAGCCCAGCAATGAGAACAGCAGTGCTGTGAGCTCTGGGTTTCTGCTCAGACCTTTCTGTCAGATGTTTTACATCAGAACCCGCTGTCCTGGCCAAGGGAAGAATGCTTCAGCCCTGCTCCTCCCAGCAGCCAGGCTTCCTGACTGCACAGCAGCTGAGAATACGCTGGGAGGCACAAACTAGCAGAGAAATCCCATTTGTAATTAGTCCTTTCTGGGTTTCTGTTCCGTGCTTAGTTTTAATTAGTGACTGCGAAGGTGTGCGAGGAGCCATGTGGGTTAGCAGGCAGATACAGGTAACTGGCCTTTAACTTCAGGTAAACCCTCAGGGAGTGTGCCAGTCACAGCTTCACCCTTTCATGGCCATATTTATGAGGTTCAACTGGTGCTTGTATGATATTTTAGGATTTGGGGGTAAATGCAATACCAAAAGAAATCAGCTGTGGAAATCAAGTCCTTTGGATAGCCAGCAGCTGGGAAATAGCAACCAGTGTGTCACCTGCAGGGGCAGCTGGGGAGCATCTGGGAGCCAGACCTGGGCAGGTTCAATTATGGTTTTGAGGTCAGACTGGAATTGGCCAGAGCTGCGTTAGGCCCTCGCTAATCCCCTCTCTGGGAAGACATCAGACAGAACTCTTCAGCCTAATGAGCAGAGATAATGATGAGCAGGTGGCTGTCATGTCAGGCGGAGGTGGAAAATGCCATTTTCTAATGACAGAATGAAGCAGGAGTTAGGGTATGTGATGCTGCAGGTTTGGGGCTTGCATCTCCAGCTGGGAGCTGGGAAATGGAGGTGAGCCTGGCTTTGGCTCTGCTCTGGCCTTAGGAAAAAGTCGTATTGAAAAGCCAGTTTTTCCAATCTGAAACTCTTGCCTTTTCTTTGCAAGGGGGTTCTGAGGTCTTGACCAGATTCTGTGAGGGCAGTAAACAGCTTCAAGGCGCAGATAAAGCAATCCTTAGTTGTGTGAGCATAAGATCAGAACTGGATCTTTCTCAAAAGAGGTTAAAGCTGCAGCCTTTGTAAAAAGTCTCTGCACTGCTGGTAAAACAATGAATTTCATCACCGCTCTTCATTTTCCAAGCCTTTTTTCTGACTTGTGCTCTTCCTTTCAGTCCATCTACAAGCTGAAGAAAGTGTGTCGATCAGAGGTGGAGGAGAGGACCCCACTGCTCACACCAGAGGAGGTTGTGGACAGGATATTTCAGCTGGTGGATGAGAATGGGGATGGTAAGGAACTGATGGTTCAGATTGCATTCATGCATAATGAAAAGTTATCTCTGCTGGGCAGGCTGGTTTTAATTATGTTTATCAAGAAATCGCTTAGAATGATCGCATTACTCAGACAAGTTGGGTTTGGTTCTGGTCTGTACATGGTCAGAGCTGAGAGCAGCTTGGTGCAGCAGGAGGAAATCTGTTCTTATTTTAATGTAAAATATCACTGTTCTGTTTGCATGCTGCACCAGCATTGTTCTCTGATTGCCCACAGCAGCCACAGAGTGCATCCCAGCCTGTAAACTGCAGCCCAATGGTGCCTGCGGGGTGTGCTTGTGATCCTGGCTCAGCCTTGTGAGCTAACATGGCATTGCATGCTATCCAAAGGGGTGGGGGAATGGAATGAATGGAGGGGATGAATGAATGAACCCTGTTATTGGCCTTTTTTAGCTAGCTGACCTGTAGAGTTTGTATGGGGAGAACACAGGAGGTGGTTTTCACTTCCTGTTGTCCTCTTCTTGTGTCTGATCTGTTCTGTTTTGTCTCCCCATCCTGTCCTCCTCACCTCCCACACAGGGCAGCTGTCCCTGGATGAGTTCATCGATGGGGCCAGGAAGGACAAGTGGGTGATGAAGATGTTGCAAATGGATGTAAACCCTGGGGGATGGATCTCAGAGCAAAGGCGGAAAAGTGCTTTGTTTTGAGGGAGCCCAGTTTTGATATGGCTGAAGATGTGATGCAGACTGTGGCTGTGGCTCTCTTACTCCAGGGCGTAGTGGCTTTCCTTGTCAATACAATCTCAGCATCCAGATGAAAACTGCAGTGGCTGAAGAAGCCATATCTCACTCTAAACCCATGTGCTGCGAGGACTCCTGGGACCCAGGGACTATTTCTGGCTGGTGAATAAGTCTCTGTGTGTACACAATGCCACTCTGGGTTTTGGTTACACCCCGAGGAGCAAACTTTCCATGGTGAAGTGGAGCAGGACCTGGGCAGCATCTGCTCCAGGCAGCAGAGCAGGGAAGTGAGAAGTCCTGATGTGGCAGTGCCATCTCTGTGCAGGGCAGCATCATTGATATCTGCAGATAACAGATGCTAACCCAGCAGCAATAGGGGTGCTCTGATGTCAGTCTGCACCATCTGGAATACTGTTATGGTTCAAAAAGTGTATGCATGTTTAGTGGATTATACTACTAATAATGTAAAGTGATTGAACACCATTGTATTGTAGATGATAAGGTTTATATTCAGTGTAAGCCAAAGCTGCACACAGCTGAGGAAAAGGCAGCACATGGGCTGGGCAGGGGGAGCAGTCAGTGTGAGTGCCTCCCTCTGCAGAGCAGATTCTGCTCCTTGCATGTGGGACAAGGGCTGCAGGAAAAGCAGGATGAGCTCAGGGTGTCACTGCCATGAGGAGGTGACACTGCTCAGCTGGCAGGGCTGGAGAACAGGAGGGGACAGACAAATCCACTGTATTACTGAAGGGGTGCAGTGGTTTTACACTGGACTTCCACTGAGCCACTCTGCAGAGAGAAAATTGGCACAGCCTGGAGGTTGAGCTCTGCTGTTCTTACAGCTGACCCGTATACCTACAGACCTGTATGAAAGAATTTGAGTTGGCCTCATTCTTTGGTTCACTTCCCTTGGATTTATTTTTCAAAGTATTTTTTCTTTACAAGAAAATATTCACCTGCAAAATAACCCGAGCTTTCCTGTTTTACTTTTCCCATGGGATCACTGAGCCAAGCCACATCCATGAAGAAGCTGGCAATCTCTCTTTTGTTTTTGTGGGTTTTTTTGTGGCCTTTAATCATGACAGTAGTACCTTTCACCAGGTGACCACTTTGCTGGTTTGCAGTTTAGTCCACTTAACCAATGTTTAAGTCCAGGATTAGGAGGAAGTGTTTAGGGTAGGGCACAGTGCTGGAGACCAAATGCACGTAGGTTTCCACTTTGAAACAGCCTTTCTGAGAGCTCTCTGTAAATACACTCTCACTCATGGCATGCCTGCTTATCAGAGCAGATTAGACTCCTCGCTTGTGCTGCTGTAAGGAAGTGTTCAAGGCTCATTCAAGTCAACAGTTTATCCACCTGAAAGAAACATCTCCCTTCCAGCTGATATGGAGACCTGGGGGACAAGATTTGCTGATTTTCAGCCTCTCGGACAAACGTTCTCATGGCAGAATACAAATCAAACCCTCACATTTCAGCATCTCAGGCAATGTGTCGCTCCATTTCTGCTTCTCACAGTTCTTAACTCAAATGGTTCTGTTGTTACTGTAGTTTCACAGCCGTGGTTTAACCAAAATGCTGTGGGTTTTGGTGCCCTGCTTCCCAGTGGGGCAGGCAGCTGTGCATCTCTGTGCACGCACTCCTGCATTGGGGTGGTAGAGGGCATCCTAACACCGAGCAGATGGTGCCAGGAGTTTTGTATCGTGCGTTTAATAAAGGTTGGTTTATTAAAAGTTGGTTTTTAGCAGTTATTTTTCGCTCGAATGAAGCTGGAGACCAGAATATCTGACCACCATTCTGGTGTTTAGGAATGAGATAATGAGTTTAAGGGAAGTAATGGGAGTTAAGGGCAGCAGCTGACCTGGGTGAGGCAGAGGTGGGAATGGTGTTGCAGACACAGAGCAGGAATAGAGTTCTGTATGGCTGCTATGCAATGACATGGCAAGTGTGTGTGTGATCAATACTCCTTTCCTGAATGGAAAATGACAATACTGTGAGCTGAGGGTCACAGTGAGATGGCCTCTGGTTCGTCCCTGTGAGGGCTCAGGAAGGACCCAAAAAAACGTTTGGGACTCAGCTGCAGGATGCTGGCACTGATGGGGACAACAGAGGCACTTGAGCTGCAGCAGCTCAGCGGAAAATCTCTTCCCAATCTTGTGATCTTTTGTTGAGAAATCACAAGGTGCTTTGGTCTCGGTCCTCCTTTTAAATCCACAGGTATAAAGGCTTTGATCTCCTCCCAAATTCAGCTCACACTTACATCAAGGTACTGAAGTCAGACATTCTGCATAATCCATTTTCCAGACTCGCAGCCCAGCTGGAATTGGATTTGGTTGATCGGATTTCTTGTTGGTCTAAATGGGGAAACAGGATGGCTTGGAGAGGGCAAATGCCATCTGATTTTCTGAGCTCCTTACTGTCAGCTCTGAGGTTTGATGCACGCAGGGTTGGGTGGGATTGAAGGTGAAATAAGCGGGTTGGGAAGCTGCAGGTGGCTGAGAGTGGGGAGCACTGCATCCTCAAATGCTGCGGGAGGGAACGTGCTGAGTGCAGCTCTGAGCAGCCGAAATCATGAAGCTGAGAAGGACAGAGGGTGGTTAAACTGCACTTAGCCACGCTTTTTATTTATCTGTGTCCATATTCTGGGAGGTGAGGCTCACCTGTGTGTTGCTGGGGCTCTGTGGCTGCCCAGGGGAGAAGGTTGTGTGCAGCTCATCCCCAGAGCAGCTGGGATCCCCTTGGGAGTATTGAAAACCAACCCCATGGGTGCACCCACTGCTCCCAACATCCTCTGCTCAGTGCAGGGGTTGCGCTGCGCATCGCTCCCTGTTGGCATCACTGACAGCACGTCTGTGGCTCCAGCACAGCTGCTGCCATTTGGAAAAGAAAAATAAACCAATTCTGCATGATTAGGGAGTCACAATGTTAGTTTTTCATTGCTTATACTTTGTTTTTGTCGGGGCTGAGAAAACATCCTCCTGAGAGCAGTGTTGAGGGGTGCAAGGTGCCAGCTGGGCTTCTCAGAACCTTTTAGAGGAGCTTTGTCTTTAGGGGTTCCTATGCCATTGAAATTGGGTGTGTTGGGGCTTCTTGAAGCAACTTGGGAGTGCAGAGCATCTCTCTGCTCCCCTGGGCAGCAAACAGGGGCAGGATGGGGACAGAAGGAAACAGAGGGAAAGCAGCAGGAGCCTGGGAAGGCCAGGAAATAAAGCAGAGCTCTCAGAGAAACAGCACCAGGAGTAGCCAGGGCTGAGTTCTGCTTAAAGAAAGCTAAACCTGCTCAATGCAAACAGCACTCAGAGCAGCAGGCAGTGCTCACTGTGAGAAACCAGGGCTCCTTGTGCTGTTCTTGCAGAAGGACAAAGCAAAAACAAAGGTTGTGTCAGAGCTTGTGTCAGAGAGTTAACCTGTTCCGCTGGAAGCAGGAGTGATTGATAGAAAGAGAAAAGCACCAGGTGAAATGATTTTGTAAAACACCTTTATTAATTCACTATAAGATCGGAAGTACAAAAGCTTCCAGGTACAGTTGCCCCCACATGAAAAATGTGCACAGGGAAAAAAAGAAAAAAAAAAAGGACCAAAAAATTCGCTTGTGAATTGCAAGCATCCAGAGATACACAACAAAGTCCATCGGGTGGGCAAGAGCTCCTTCCTGGTGCCTTGCATTGCCTCATCGTGCTGAAATCAGCTCCCAGCAGATGAGGAAACTTCAGGGTGCTGGAGGGAGGGCTGGGTGGGTGTTTGGGTGCTGGGGCTGCCTGCTCCCCACAGCTGGGGTTATTCATGGAGCCCATCTCTGCAGCACACCCAACTGCATGGAGACCATTGCTGCCTGCAGAAAGCAGCGGATGCTGGAGGGTGCCACAAAACCAGCATTGCAAGGTTTTGTTTGTTGGGTGGGTGATGAGACATGCAGGAGAATTCCTGACCTGGTCCCTCTGGGGTTACTGCCATTGCGACCGTTCCAGGTATGAGCATACCCTTCAAGTTCTGACTGTTGTTAGAAAAAAGGCACCATTCTGTGTTTTTAATGCTTTAAAACAAAGAAAAGCCACTGCATTCACCTCTCTCCTTTACATAACTCAGAGATGTTTTTTGTCTTATGTTATCACTAATGATTGCTAATGTAATAGCAACAAGTCAAAGAATGTGTGACCAAAGCCGTTTGCTTTTGGGGAAAACATTGAGAATACTCTGAAAATACATACGGAAAGAGACTCTCAGATCTGCTTTTTGGGCACAAGCAAACACCGCTCTGCTCTTCAAAGGGACATTATCCCTGTGCAGAGGACCAGCCGGGGTCTCTGCAGTCAGACACATGCCCTATTCCTGTTTGCAGCAGCTCTGTACCCCACGGAGCCCCCACTGAGGAGCGGAGTCCTCGTGTGAGCTGAGCTCCCATCCAGATGCATGTGCTGTGTGGGTGCTGGCATTGGCCACTGGCTTGGTGAGAGCTCTGACTGCTCTAATGTACCTGAACCCTGCGTGCTGCAGCTCTCCCTGCCCACAGAGGTGGGGCTTTGCACACCCCTACACAGCAGTGACCTTCAGAGGCACCCAAGTTGGGGTGGGCGCTGGCGGCCCTGCAGCAGCGTGGCACAGCCATGTCCCTAGCATGCCATGCTGCATCGACCCCCCCGTGCTCCCCCCACAGTGCTGTGTGTCAGCAGGGCCAAGTGTTCGGAGGGGACATCAGTCCCTGTGCTCATGGGGTGCCCAGTGCTCCATCACAGCATCAGATTGGCACTGGGACAGTCCCCAGCTCCCGCAGTCACAGCCCATTTCGTGTCAATAATGCAAAGGAAGGGGGAAGAAAAGTTTGAGGGAATGTGTCCTGGAGTTTACTGGGCAGCCTCCTCTGCCTCCTCCGGAGCGTGTGGGTTCTTCCCGTCGTTCTGGATTAATTTCACAATATGTGTCAGGTCCAGGCTGCGGGTGAGGATGTCGAGCAGCACCTCATCCTTTTGGACACCCTCCATGAACTCCTCCAGTGAAAGCTCACCTGTGACACACAGCCAGAAGGGCTTCGTTAAGTCTCGTTATGTCCTGCAGCCCTCATCCTCCACCCACAGCCCCCACACCAGCCCAGGAGTTGTGGCACAGGCTGAACCACAGCACTCAGCCCAGCCCCACTGCAGCTCAGCCCCACGCTGCAGTGTCCCCCTGGTGCCCACAGGAACCTATGGAAGGGCAGTGGGAGCCAAACCTTCCCCTCACTCACTGCTATGGGCACCCAACACCCGGGATTGCTCCAGCAAATCGGGCTGCAGGGAAGGAGAAGGAGAGGGCAGAGCTTAACGTTGCATGGGAAACTTCCTTACCATCCCCATTGATATCAATTTTATCAAACACCATGTTTGTGAACTCCTCAGCTGTCATGGCTTCATTGCAGCGGTTGATGGCTCGGATGGCCTGGAAAGAAAGGAGACACAGAATGGTACTGAATGCTGTGCAGGTTTCTGTATTGCTACAAGGAGCTCAGTGATCTGACATGAGACACTTTTTTCCAGACATTTAGGTTCTGGAAGGGACAAGTAAGTCCTTTCTAAAAAAATGGAGATTAAAATCACTTTGAATTGCACTCAATGCATTAAAAGCTTAAGTGGGCATACTGGGATAAGCCAGGAGCCCTTCACCTCTGCAAATCCTTAGATTAAATTCAAGTGCTTATCTCAGCCCAGGCTGCAGTGGCCATGCTCACACAGCATGCCATCACAAGGGGCTCACTGTGCACCAAGGTGGGGGGCAGCTCAAGGCTGGGGCTAAGGCCAGGGTGAGGGTTGGAGTTGAGTTAGGATTAGGGTTGGGTTAGGGTTAGGGTCAGGGTGACACAGGTCCCAGGTGAGACACAGTGCTCTGTGGAGGGTGGTTTGGGAGCACTGGGCAGTGCCTGCTGATTTACAGGGAGTTGTCTGTTGGGTTGGGATGTTCCCATTGCAGCCTCTCTCCACCCGTGTCTAATAAGCCTCGTCTGTGGAAGAAGCAGGAAAAGCAGAACCCACTCACTTTGATGATGTTTAGCAATTCTCCCCGGTCAATGCAGCCGTTCCCATCTACATCATAGAGTTTGAAATACCATCGCAGCTTCTGATCCACTTTGCCTTTCAGGACCAAGCTCAGGGCTGCCACATATTCCATGAAATCTATGTAGCCATCCTAGAAGCAGAAGGATTTAATCTATACAGAGCCATGATGAGCAAACTTGACGTACGTACCTGGCGAGGGATTAATGAGCCTCAAATCTCCCCATGCTAAAGGAATCTTGCTACGCAAAGCAGCAGTAATTCAGAGGTCAAAGAGGAGCAGGCTTATGATGGATCACCCAACGTTTTGCTCTCTGCACGTAACAGCTCCTCTCTGCTGTCAAGGGGTTTGTCTGCAAAGCTCCAGGAGAGAAGCAAACCCAGGAGGGACCCCTGGCCATGCAGAGCTGCCCTGGGCTGTGCTCCATTGCCAGCAGCCTGCTGCTTCTGCATGCTGCTCCGTGTCTGGGAGGTTTGCTGAAATGCAGAGTGATTCAATGGCACGGTGCCATTGATATTGATACCACAGCCTTCCCATCCAAATCGCTTCAATGGAAGATGGTACATGCTACAAAACCATGGAAAGTCTTCTAGAGAGAGTAAGGTGGTGCTTTGTCAATGAACAAAGCCCTGGGCTGTCCCATGGAGCAGCTTCCAGAAGGGATCATCTGCTCTGCTCCACTGCTGGATTAGTGCAAATCGCTGCTGAGCCCTTCCCAGCAGGGATCTGCTGAGCATCAATTCCTCTTCCAGGCACGGAATCAAACACCAGGCAGTGAGCAAGGAAAGGGCCCGGGTGTAAGCAAAACCACTTGGAGGATTTATAACCTAAATTGTATTATTTCAGTGGGATTAAGCCCACTAAGCATGAAGCATCCTCCTCATCTCACTGGTGCTCAGGCCCTGCATGCAAACCTCTGCGGGGAATGGCAGCTCCTTGC